CCCCCCCCGCTTGCCTTGCTGTCAGACTGGCGTGTTTTAAGGGGTTTAGTGCATGCCCCACTCCTGCCCACCCCTCCCGCTGCCTTGCTGTTAGAATGGAGTGTTTTTAAGGGCTCCAGCGCATGCCCGAGCCCTCCCTTCACTGCCCCCGCCCCCCCCGCCCCCCCCGCTCCCGCCGCTCCCCCCGCCCTTCCCACCCCCCCTCCCGCTGCCTTGCTGTTAGAATGGAGTGTTTTCAAGGGCTCCAGTCCATGCCCGAGCCCTCCCTTCGCTGCCCCCGCCCCCCCCGCCCCCCCCGCTGCCCCCGCTCCCCCCGCCCTTCCCACCCCCGCCGACCCCCTCCGCTGCCTTGCTGTCAAACTGGCGTGTTTTAAGGGCTCCAGTGCATGCCCCACTCCTGCCCACCCCTCCCGCTGCCTTGCTGTTAGAATGGAGTGTTTTAAGGGCTCCAGTGCATGCCCGAGCCCTCCCTTCGCTGCCCCCGCCCCCCCCGCCCCCCCCGCTCCCCCCCCCCCGCCGACCCCCTCCGCTGCCTTGCTGTCAGACTGGCGTGTTTTAAGGGGTTTAGTGCCCCACTCCTGCCCACCCCTCCCGCTGCCTTGCTGTTCGAATGGAGTGTTTTTAAGGGCTCCAGTGCATGCCCGAGCCCTCCCTTCGCTGCCCCCGGCCCCCCCGCCCCCCCCGCTCCCCCCGCTCCCCCCGCCCTTCCCACCCCCGCCGAGCCCTCCTTTCGCTGCCCCTTCTGCTGCCTTGCTGTCAGACTGGCGTGTTTTAAGGGCTCCAGTGCATGCCCCACTCCTGCCCACCCCTCCCGCTGCCTTGCTGTTAGAATGAAGTGTTTTTAAGGGCTCCAGTGCATGCCCAAGCCCTGCCCCCGCCCCCCCCGCCCCCCCCGCTCCCCCCGCCCTTCCCACCCCCGCCGACCCCCTCCACTGCCTTGCTGTCAAACTGGCGTGTTTTAAGGGCTCCAGTGCATGCCCCACTCCTGCCCACCCCTCCCGCTGCCTTGCGTTTTAAGGGTTAGAATGGAGTGTTTTAAGGGCTCCAGTGCATGCCCGAGCCCTCCCTTCGCTGCCCCCGCCCCCCCCGCCCCCCCCGCTCCCCCCCCCCCGCCGACCCCCTCCGCTGCCTTGCTGTCAGACTGGCGTGTTTTAAGGGGTTTAGTGCATGCCCCACTCCTGCCCACCCCTCCCGCTGCCTTGCTGTTAGAATGGAGTGTTTTTAAGGGCTCCAGTGCATGCCCGAGCCCTCCCTTCGCTGCCCCCGCCCCCCCCCGCTCCCCCCGCCCCCCCCGCTCCCCCCGCTCCCCCCGCCCTTCTCACCCCCGCCGACCCCCTCCGCTGCCTGCTGTCAGACTGGCGTGTTTTAAGGGCTCCAGTGCATGCCCCACTCCTGCCCACCCCTCCCGCTGCCTTGCTGTTAGAATGTTGAGGGTTTCGGGTTTACGGTTTACGGTTTAGGGTTTCGGGTTTCGGGTTTGGGGTTTGGGGTTTAGGGTTTAGAGTTGGGGGTCGGCGGCACTGGCGGTAGCCATTAAATAAAAAAAGGGTGCCATTCTTTGTTTTCAAGGGGCTTCTAAGTCAACCTGCCCCGCACTTGACACCCATGTTGCCCTCGGTACCAACAACCTGTGGAGTTCCGATAGCATAGCAAGAGAGCACTCAGGCTGCTTCGGCACGGCAGGAACCGCAGAACTTTCTTGCCAAGCCCAACCCACCCCCCCCCCCCCGCCCCCCGTAGCCTTGGGCTTTCCGCTCGTTCCGCTTCTCGGCACGGCTCGCCTTCATCTCTGCGGGGCACGGGAAGACATCTGACACTACACACTGCAATGCCAACACCCCCCCCCCCCCACCCCGTCTAATATGTACATACATTCATTCATGCATGCAGGGGCAAAAACACACACACACACACACACACACACACACACACACACACACACACACAGAGACAGAGTTTCAGACACACGAACACAAACACAAAGACACACAATAAGACACAGACACACAGGCACACAGACACACGCATGTATACATATACATATATATATATATACATGTACATATGACATGGTACAAGTAAACACACAATGAATATGTATATATACATAACAGAAATGAACCCCTCCCAAAAAACATACAAATATTATATATACATATATGTGCATACTGACATGAAGGCCTCAGCTCTCAACTTGAGGCGCTTTGAGCTGCACACAAGCCGAGCCTTGGCGCGCTTTTCGGCGCATTTCGCGGGCTCCTGTGTGCCCTCGGCACTGGGGGGCTCCTCTGGCGTTTAGGGCTTTTAGGGCTGTTGGGGGAGGCGTACACGTAGTTTGCATGGTTGTTTTCAGCAACTTCGGAGGATTTCGAAGGGTGGGGTTTGGGGGGTGGGGGGGAGGGGGGGGGGCATGATAACGTCCGTTCCTAAGGCGACCATGCCCAAAAACACTGGTACTTGCAGCGTTCTTGCCTCTTTGCACAACACAGCGCCAAAGGGTACTTGACGCTTCTTGAAAAAAAACAACGTGCTGTCACAAGCATTCATCTCTGTTGTGAACATGCTCAAAAACACTGGACCTTCTAGGGCTCAGGGTGTTACGGGGTTGCTCGTTGTGCTGTCCTTCCGCGGAGATTTGCTTTTTGACCCGGTGTCGTGGCAGCCCTCCAGACCTATGAGCCGCCCGGCCTCTTCAAGACCTCTTCAAAGAAGTACCCTCTAAGAACCAAAACTCGCAAAGCCCTGCCAACCTTGCATCTTGAACCCGTCTACTACAGAACCCTATAAAGCTTCCAAACTCCAGACCGGGAAACAAGCAAAAAACAAAACAAACACAGAGAGCTTCTGGCGGTCCTGGCCCGCCGGCGCCGCGTCGGCGGCTTCGGCCAGCCCAGCCTGAGCCGCATCCGCAGCCTCCTTGGGGTCGGCCTGGTCGCTCTCAGGTCTGTGCAGGTTGCAACTTGGGGGGTTTTAGGGTTTTTTTACCCGCAGGTGTAGGGTTTAGGGTTTGGAGTTCAGGGTTTGCTTTTTCTTCGCGGGCAGGCTTTCTGAAGTTAATGGTTTAGGGTTTAGAGGGCTTAGGGGTGGCAACCGGAAATCAAGATGGTAAGCCGTAGCAGCTCTTGTACCCCCGTTCGACGGGTCAACCGGTATCCTACCCATATTTATGCTTGCCAACCGAGATGTCTGCATGATGCACATGAGTTGCTTCCTTTCGCGCTGTTCATGTCTTGTTGCTTGTTGTTTATCCAGATTTTTCCTGCGACATGCTCTTCTCGCCTCTCGGCATATCATTTCTCACAAGTCTCAAGCCTCACAAATACTTAAACTTGCTTGTCGCGCTACACGATTTGCACTCTCCCTTGCCAATCTTATTGAGATCAAAGAAAGACCTGAACGCATAGTATAGTTGGACTGGTGAAAGACACCGGGTTTATTTCGGGAAGGTTGTTAGAATGCTCAGGGTTCAGCCATTACTACATTCCTCGGGGGCGCTCATGGAAAGGCATGACAGTCTCTGACAACTACAGGGCCTACGTGATATGCCCTTTGCACTCATAACCAACATTGTCGAGTCAGGGAACAAATTGTTCAAGCTGCCTTTGTCACGTCTGGACTCTAGACATCTAAAGAAATACCTACGGCATCTACGAGATCTGCTATCTGCTCAATACTTTCTATTTCCTGAGTTGCTTCAGCACATCCCCTTGAGCCCCTGAACGTTGAACCCTAAGCCCTTAACCCATTTAGACCCTTGGGGCCCTGCTTATGTTGCTGCAACCCAGGAGCTGGTTCGGCGTCCGCTGCGACGCCCGCCAGCTTGTTGAGCAACAGCTCCACTGCTGACCCGGCGTCGTACTCGCGGAGGCCGGGGGCTGGGGAGTTTGGGTGGAATTTTGAACTGAGGCCCCAAAAAACAGACTAAACCCAAAAGCAGACCGTAACCCCGAAACCCAAAGTAAGGACCCTCAAGATCAGCTGGCAAATAGGCTGCTCAGGGTCCTTGCACTGCAGCAGCGTCGAGCGCAGCGCCGTGTCTTCAAAGCCGTGGTTCGGGGGAAGGCTGTACTTGACCTGCAGGGGCTGCCTTTGTAAAGGCTTTTTTTTTTTGGGGGGGGGGGGGGGGGGTATCGGGTTGAGGGTTTACAAGGGCTGAATGGGGCGTTTTGAGGGCTTGCGCAAGTAATTTCAGGGTATAGGGGACGACTCGGGGCTAGAACTTCTTGCATCACCTCCTCCAGCAGTGCCGCGACGTCGCTGTCCCGCATCCTCGGCTCAGGGTTAGTAGGAGTTTTGGTAGGAACGGTAGGTCAGGGGCTGCAGCAGTCGAATTCGGAGGGTGCCGGGTTTCTTTTGAGGGTCCAGGGTTGCCTTTTTCTTAGCTTCCTGAGGTGATGCTGGAGTCCCCGCGCCGGATGCGCACGATGTAGGAGGTGTCAGCCCAGTGCGTTTCATGAGGGGGCGGCGGCACCTGGGGCGGCATCTCGAACTCGAAGGTAAGGCCTTCCTTCCTCAAAGAATCGCAAAAGAGCTGCTGGGCTTGTGACTGAGTCGTTCGCGTGGCAACGGCGGTGTTCGTGATCACGGCCTCCCCGCCAGCAGCCAGGAAGTAAGAGATGCTCTCGGCCAAGGCCGGGATGTACTCTGGGATGTACACGATCTCAGAACCCACGAGGAGATCAAAGCCGCGCTCGGGAAGGCCTGACCTTTCCGCAGAAGCCCGGCCCCACTCCAGGTGCGTGGCGTCCAAGGACCCGCCGAGCTTCAGAGGGTCTTCAAAGGCAGCGGCGTTCTTCGCCAGAAGTGGGATCTCCTCCTCGCTGCCATCGCTGGCGGTGCTGCAGGCCCCGAGCAGCGCGGCCGTGTGCGCGAGCAGGCCGCAGCCGGCGCCCAGCTCGAGCACCCGCTGCCCCGGCAGCGCTCCGGCGGCGCGCAGGAGGAGATGCACTGAGGCCCAAGATCCCCTCCAGCAGATGGCCCCACTGGCGCCCATGGGCCAACCGTACAACCTGAGTTGCAGCTTGCCATCAATGCCTGGCAGGTGAACGCCCTCTGGAACCTCGACCTCAAAGACCCGCTCCACGTACTCATCCTCCGCGAAGAGCATGGCCGAGCATTACCACGTAAATGGCAGGGCGTTTGCAGATGGGTGTGGAGGGTTTTTTTGTTGTAGATTCAGGGCTGACTGGGAAAGAGTACTGCTGCTTGGAACACTCTGGCAGTGGCGCGGGTAGCAAGGGTTAAGACGGGCTACCACGTGTACACGCCATAACATTTGTGAGCCCGATGTTGTTCTGCCGATACGACGTGTGCGCTGAGACCTTGCGGCGCGTGACATTTGAGCCAAAATGGGGCTCAGGTTTCTGCAGCTGAAGCGTATGAGTTTGCCATGGCTTTGTTTCCCGAAGTCTCTTCTATTCGGCACATTCACAAAGACCTGAGGCTCTAGGGCCCGCCAAAGACTTCCGGGAATCCAAGCCCACTGCCCCTCCAGCCCCGCCGAGTCTCTTCAGCTGCTGCAGGGAGAGGAAGCTTACGGCCTTGCCCAGAGTCAGGTCCCACTCGAACCTGTGCTTTGGTGGCTTAGCGAAGTTTCGCGCAGCTTCAGCGTTTGCACGGTGTCTTTTGCTTTTTTTGTTCTTTCTCCTTTTTTTGTTGGGGGGGGGGGGGGGGCTGCAGTTTGGGGATCTTTGGAGTTGCTGAGGTGATGGCTGACTGGAGGTTTGCCCTTCAACAATGGGGGCTCGAGATTTGGGTCGAGGATTGCCCTCTGTGTCTGCAGTCCGCGGCGCCGGACGCTGTTGTAGTGCTCGCCGTCGTGGTATGACAGCTGCAGGCACCGCGCGTCGGCAGGGCTAAACTCCATCTCGTAGGACGGCGAGCCAACCTGGTGGACGATGACGTTCCTTGGGGCAGCTTTGGCTGGAGGGGCTTGAGGGCCTCCGGGGGCTATGAGGGGTTTAACTAATTCATGGTTGGGGTAGTATTGAAAGTCTAAATTTCTATTCCTTATTGAGCTTAAGTACCCCTTAAACATGTAAAATGTTACCCCACTATGATAAAGTAAAGTCTGGGTATCGTTGAAGAGGGATTCCGCGTGCTAATTTCTCTTGAGCCGCTTCGAAGCCCACAAGCCTGAAGCCCTCCAAACAGCCCTCCTCGCCGAACCTTCTGCTCTCCTAGGAAAAAAAGAATGACAATCGCCATCATCATCCCACAACAAGGAGAAGCCATGCTCCCTACAGTTTCCGAGTGCATGGCTCGAGGGCCAAAACCCCAAAGAGCCCTGGAAGCCCCACAACAGTGTCTAGTGCCCAGGGGCTGAGGAAGGAGCCCCAAACACACGTGTACGGCTTGACTGCTTTAGAACTTTATGTGGGTGCCCTGTGGGCGTATGTGGAGTGACAGAGCTTCTGAAGGGCTTCGAAGGGGAAAAGTTGTGAAGCCCAACCATAAGGGGGAACCTTGAACAAAAAAAGGGGGGCAAAAGGGGTACCAGCTGGGCCACCAAGTTCTTATGTGGGCAATGCCCTGCCCCGAATAGGACCCCCCCCACCTTCTTCTAGGAACACCCCCCAAACCGTAAACCCTAAACCCAAGACCCGAAACCCTGAACCCGAAAGGGGGAAAATTTCTGCAGGGGCTCACCCCAAAGGCTTGGCAGATGGCCATCAGTTCCAGCTGTGACCCCCAGTTTCCTGGGAGCGTTGGGGGGAGGGGGTTTAGGCTTGACGGGAAAAGGGTGTCAGGTTTGGGTTTGTAGGGCTTCTAGTGCTTAATTGGGGGTGTTTCCTGGGGGCGTTCTCTGTTGCTCGGCTTTTCAGCATCTTTTCTTGCCACGCGCCAGGGTTTGGGTTCGGGGTTTAGGGTTTCTAGGGTCTGGGGTCTAGCGATGTCCAGGGTCTAGGGTTTCAGGTTTCGGGCTTATGGCGGGATCTGTTTCCTCTCTTGGGCAGTGTTCTCAAATTTGTGGTGGGTGTGGGGGGGGGGGGCCTTTCTCTGAAATCTGAAAGGGATGCCCCAACCTCCAGAAAAGAGACCCGCAGTATCGAGCAGCACCTCCTCATCAATCCCTCGCCCGTCGTCGCAGCTCAGGGCCGTTACTGCTCCCGCAGATCAAAGATGCCCGTAGAATTAACATCAGATGGTTCGATACTTGTTTGTTTACTGATGTCTCTCGAACTCATTTTGAGTCCCACTAACATGCCGGCTGCTTAGCATGGCAGTGGCTATCATCATAATGATTATTGCTAGTAACAAAACTCGTGTTCTTACAACTGCTAGCAAAGCCCCCCAAGCTCCTGACTCCAGCACCAAACCCCGAGAGCCCTCGACGCCCCCGAACAACGAGAAAGAGAACTGCTTTCAGCCCCAACGGCCGGGGCTGCGCATCCGCTCCACGTAAGCGCCGAAGCAGTCGCAGGTGGTCTCGAAATCCTCCGGTTCGGGGGTGGGGGGGGGGGGGGGAAAGGGGGGGCGGAAGGCAGGTTGGCGGGTTGGAGGGCTTGCCGGGCTAGGGTTTGACTTGCCGTAGTGGGATTTCATGTGGGCACAATCGCTCACAACTCGCCGCCAGCATAGGCGTATTCAAAATATTGTTGTATAACAATTAGATCTGTATCTGGTCCATAAATTTTTCGGTGGGCGTGACCCACATATGTCAAAAAAGCTGCTACTGATGAGAACAGTAAGCTTCTGGCTCTCCTCTTTTGCCTGTAAGACCGTGTTTCTCAATGCCAGCTTATGCACTGACGCGGCAACCTGACAACCCAACTCTCCAGCGAAACTCGTCTGCTCAAGGCTGCTCTGGTCCTCGTCTGCGTAGAACAAGGAAAACCTGCAGCAGATTAGAGGAAAGTCAGAGGTCGATCTTCCTGCCACCAATCCCTAGGGCCTAGAGTGCCTAGAGAGCCTCAAAACAAACCCACAGAATTTTTCTGCAGGTTCCATGTAGATGGTTCGTCGTTGCAAAAAGGGGATGGATTCCGGGCTTAAGCGGCTTAGGGTTTAAGAATTGCATGCAGACACAGGGACACATGCCTCCAAACCTTCCAGCTCGAGCCGGGTCACTCATCTGCATTCTCGATCATGTGGTTGCAACACATCTCCTGATGCTTCCCAGCAATAGGTACTAGGTAGAGGTTGGAAACCGATGTCCCAACCACAAAACCGTTGAAGCCCTCAGGTCTAAACCGCGGGCGCTCAGCACTTTGACTTGCAGGGGGGGGGGGGGCCTCTTCACAAGCTTCCTCTTTGCACATGGCAACGCATTTTTGGGAGCGATGTTGGATTTTGAGGAGGTGCCCCGAACGACTTCTGAAGCCACGTCTCTCTGTAGTGGTTGTGCTCCTCTGGATCACCACCTTGCGCGGGGCCACATGCCATGGGAGTTCTTGTGCCTTGGGCCGTAGAGTTTTTTGCCAGCCTGCCTAGGGTTTCGGTTTCGCGGTAGATCCCCCAAACAAGGGTCTTTAATTGGGCTTACGAACCTTACAAGCCGCTAGCCGCGATAAGGACCCGACAGGGTTTAGGGTTTATGGTTGAGGGTTTAAAGGCCCACTGAACCTGCGAGCCGCGAATGCAAATAGCCTCTGGACGCTAAACAGCTGGGAGACACAAGAATCACAATAGTCGCCAACAACGAGCTCATGATGACAAACGCCAAGATGCAGAGCTGATCTGCAATGGCCCTGAAGAGGCAGTTGCCATCCGGCTCCATCTTCACGACCTTCCGATCTAACGCATCGAAGATTTGCCGGGATCCGATATCTGCAGAGACATCCCAAAGCCGTCTGGTCAGTTCTCGAATGTATGCTCCCTTTTGGGGTACCCAAATACGAGGGGCCGCCTCATCATCAGGACCCAAAAGGAAGTGACTATCTGCCGCCCAATCCTTCCTACGTTTCTCCGGCATGACTTCTCTAGGCAAGGCACGCGCAGGCCAAGCGGATGTAGCTGCTTGACCTGCATGGTCAGGTGCCGACGGCAATTTTGGGGTCTTCTGCTGCAGCCATCTCCAAACGACAACCTCTAATGCCCTGATCCTTACAAGATAACAAAAAAAAACACCAGAAGCTCCAACCCCTTGAGCAATGAGTCACTTGCCCCGCACTCTCTTGCGGGCCCGGCCAGGTCCTGGTAGTCCTCGGCCGTGTACTTGCCTCACGCGATCAATACACAAGGCGACTACTGAATACTAAGGATAGAGAGGGTGCAGCAAAGTTTGCTGTAACGATCCGGTTCATGGCTTCAGGGGCCATTCAAGACTTCAAACTACTGACAGCATCTCTACTGGGGCTGCTGAAGAGATTCCATTCTTTACCCTTCCTCAATGCTGCCCAGCGCTTCCTGAAGGGCTGGGGATACCAGGGTGTCGGGCTTCAGTTTTCGGAGGCTTTGAATGGTATTTATTGCTTATGGTCGAGGGGTTTGTGCTGAGGGCGCCCCAGCACTCTTACATCCGCAAGCCCCAAACGCCCCAAACCATCCAAGCAACACCTCCGCCAGCGCACCCCTCAGAGCCGCGCCTTTCGACTTTTGGTTCCGCTTTGGCGGCCAAGCCTGGATCGTGGAAATCTGAGAAAGGGAGCTCAGCCTTTGACCTTTCGCGCGTGTTGTGGGGCCTGATTATAAGGATTATAAGGCTGCGCTATGGCTCCGTTCTTATGGGGACCCAGAGGGGTTCACAGAGTGTGCGTGTGTCTGTGTGTGTGTGTGGAGTTGCGCCCAATGTGGCTCTCAGCTCAAAAACGACAGAAAGTTGAGCTGCGGAGGCAGCAAGAAAGAAAGGTGCGAACATGACCAGTAAAAGAACCACAAAAAAAACAAGAAAAGTCAGGCTGTAGGACGAGACTCGACGGTTCTGACGTGCCCGGCCTTCCCGGAACCTGGCCGAGAGCCTGCAGCTTTCGCCTTCGCGGCCGCCTTCTTCCCCATGGCGCCCAAAGGCCGAGAGGAGAGCGGCTGTTGGGGGGGGTTGTGGGGAGGCAGCGGGGCGGGATTTGTTGGGGCTGCGGTGGGCTTGTTCAGAGATTTTCGGGTTTTCAGGGTGTGTTGAGGGTGTGAAAGTGCTTGGGTGTTGGGTCAGAGGTTGAGGGGCTTCGGGGTGTGAGGTTTTTCAGAGGTTGAGGGGCTTCGGGTCCGAATGCCACAAGATCTGAAGCCCTGCATTGGAAGGTGACGTTGGGTTGGGCTGTGGCAACGCTTAGAGCTCAAGAAGCCAAAAAAGACGGGCAGGGACTTGGCGCGCAAGACCCAGCCTTGTAGTCCTGCACTATGAACCCTTGCCTTGTTCCTACGTACCCTGTTCTTGCTGCGAGAGGTTACTGGACTGTCCGGCGCCTTCAGGTAGGCAGAGGCCGAGGCTTTTGTGGGGTTTAGGTTGGGATGTTTTTGTTCTACTAACAGTCCTTGATCGGGATTATAGTGTCACCCCTGATAGAATCCCGATTACCGACTGCTAGTACAAGGGGGAACATCCCAAGGTTTAGGCTTTTCGCCCAGACGCTTTGCTTCAAGGCGCAGGGAGGGCTCAGTAAGACTCCGGCTCGAGAAGGTCCCTGTTAGCCCCCCAAAAACCGTCCAAATGTTGATGCATGTCGTTTTATTCATGTTCCCCAATACACGAACAGTCAAAAGTGACTATAAACCCTTATGAAGGACTGTGAGTAGAAGGGGGAACATGCCAAGATGTCGCGCTCTAAAGCTTTGTGGGGATCGTGGGCACCCCAAGCCTCGGCTTTTAAAAAACGAAATCACGGAGCGGATCTTTTTTCCCCTCCCGCTTTTTCGCGGTCAGACCCTTCCTGAAGGAGCCTCAGCGGGGGGGCGCAGAAGCACAGGGGGCCGGAATTTGAGATGGTCTGGGCTGTAGGGTTAAAAGGGGATGTCGGCTTAGGCTTCGTAGGATTCGCCACTGGCAGCGCGCTGTCCAACTAGCAGGGCTTCCTGATTCAAACCTGCAAGTTTGCAGCAGTAGCGCCACTTCGGGTTTAAGAGCCTTTCTTCGGGCCCCTGTTTTCGCGTGGCCTGAAGGCCTGTGATGCTGGTTCATCAGCATCCCCTAACCATTAGGTCCTAACCCGACACGCTGAGTCAAGAGGCCCTGGGACATTCTCCTCAGAAGAGTTGAATCTTGCAACTGTCTGCTGTCCTAATGGGTCCGAAGCACGAGTGGTCCTTCTGGATCCGGGAACCCCCAGACCCTGAAGGCAACCTGAAAGCTTCACCCGAACAGGTTGGAGCAAAGACCTGCAAAAAGAACCCTAAACCCTTTTGAGCCCAGGCACTGAGTATCAGCTGGGATCACCAAGCCTAAACTCATTTTTGGCCACTGGACTTCCCTCCCTACACCCTAAACCCCTAACCCCTAACCCTAAACCCTAACCCCCCCCCTCCTGGGCGCCCGGCCAGAGGTTCCCTTTCTGAGGGCAGAGGCTTCTCGGCCAAAGACTCCCGGGCCTCCGGGGGAGATGGAATGTTCCCTTCTCTACTTGGAGGTTCCATGGTACTCAATTACGAACCAGGTATGGCCCCTTATTTGCGTGCCCTAGGATGGTTGCAAGCAGTAAGTGCAATGAACCTTCAAGTAGGGTTGAGGGAGATTATGCGGAATCTTCCCCCCAGTGGGCATGGCTTCCTTCTTCGATACCCCCGCCCGCTCGAAGCAAGAAGTCGGAACGCCCCTTTCCCTGGGAATCCAGTGGCTGCCCAAACTATCACTGCAGATCTAAGGCATGCCTGGCCGAACGTCACGGCCCCGAAGATCGTGATCCTCGAAGCAGATGCAGAGCTAGGGCAGCTAGGGGCATGGGATGCCCGGCTCCACTTCCGAACCGCAGGAGCTGGTTTAGGGGTTACAGGCATTTTGGAAGGCCTTCAGAGCTCGCTTGGACATAAAGGCCCCCTCGTTTCTTCTTCTGCGCTGGACATTGTGGTCTTGCAAGCTGGTGGGTGCCGAGAAGCTGACTCGCTCAAAAACCCACAAAGGCCGCCGCCCGTCCCAAGCTAAGGCAGCGGAGGCGCAGGGCCCCGATCACTTGCGCCCAGGTGAGCTGGTAGCTGTTCATGAAGAGCGCCTGCGTCAGCCCACGTCTGGGTCTCAAGCCTGTCTTTCACCCTAAACCCTAAACCCTCAACCCTAAACCCTTTTTACGCTAAACCCTTTTGACCTTAACCCTGGGTGGGGCGAGAGATCCTGGCACCATGCTGGCCTTAGCCAGGGCTCTAGGGCTGCCAGCAAGTACAGCAGTGCAACATCACGCTTCCAAGATCACGTGCTATTAGGCAAAAACCAACAAGTATAACAAACAGCAATAGCACTTAGCAATTAGCAATAGCACTTAGCAATAGCACTTAGCAAATAGCAATAGCAATAGGACTTAGCCGTAGCAATAACAGCAGCAATAGCAACAGCAATAGCAATATGCAGCAGCAAAGGCCCGTTTGTTTGCGAGAGCTCATGGGAACACCACGAAGCTGACCTCGATGCAGACGATGGCAAACTTGCTGGCGTTGATCAGAACGAGGAAGCTTGTCGCACCTCAGTGAGCATGTCCCCCTCCCAAAAAGAATCGCGAAAAGCCAGTCCGTTCTCCAATCTATGTGGATTCAGCGGCACCAACTTCTATGTGTGTATATATGTATGTATGTATGTATGTATGTATGTATGTATGTATGTATGTATGTATAAGTAGATGTAGGAGTTATATGCATGAGTTTTCTATACGCGTGTATGTATGTATGTATGTGTATATATATATATATATGTTAACATGTAAATATATATATATGTGTGTGTGTGGATATATGTATATATATACAAATACATAAATAAATATATACATTTCTTTCTATCCCCTTCCACCGCATACACTGCGTGCATGGGAAGACCCATATAGGTGCAACTGCAAAAGCTCGTGTGCGACCACCTGAGCCCTGAAGCAAAGCACCTTTTCTGTGGAAGGCACTGATCAAACTCTGGCACCAGATTCCGGTGTAGCTGAGCCCCACCTCGGGTGTTGCCAACTTAGGAAGGTCTCAGACCAGTAGCTCAAGAACGGAGAAGCAGGAATGATGACCAAGCCCCTTGTGTCCAATGATCTTTCTAATATCTGATAGAAAGAAACATAAAGGTCTATCTGGAATTCGGTACTCGACAGACTCCCTGAAAGGAGCGAGTTTACGCGGGTACTGGGGCCCGGAACACCGACCACGCAGCTGGCAAGAAGCCAGGTGTAGCTCTGCAGCGTTACCTCTGACCTCGGGGTTCGGGGGAGTGGGGATGGCGGTCCGAAGGGCTCCATTTAGGGTTTAGGGTTTAGGGTTTAGGGTTTAGGATTTAGGGTTTAGGGGTTAGGGTTTAGGGTTCTTCTGCATACAGCCTTTTTGGGGTGAAGACCAGGTTAGACCAGTTGTGCGCGGTAGACTTCACAGCGGCGAAGCCATGCTTTCGGAGCAACCTCGGCATGATGTTACCACGGGCCATGACCAAAGGGGACCTGTTTTCCTCAAGCGTCTGCTAGGTCTGATTGAAGTGCCACATTGCAGAAAGGAACTGGGGAGACTTGCCGAGTGCTGTTGAACACGGCGCGTATGGCGTATTCTTGGCAATTTCTGGGTGAGGTCCGGGGCTCGACTATCAGAGCGGCTGGACACAACAGCGGGCAGGCGATGGGTCTGATCCTGCGCTGACATGGAGCTAAGCTGAGGAGAACCGACGTCAACAAAGCATCGGACCTAGAATCCTAGAATCGGTCGCGTGCAGGGTTTTAGGATTTCGGAGTTTGCTTGCAGGTTTTAGGGTCGCTCTCTCCTAAGGATGTCACGAGGATGCCAGGGATCGACCACCGCCTTTCTCTCCTCCGGCCTCCTGCAAGCCGCTTCGCATTGCAGGAAGCCCCCTGACACAAAATTTGTTTTTTTTGGCAAAGTGCATCCCTGAGATCATACATGAGCTATATGAAGCAGGGTACATATTTCTTGTACCCCAAAAGGACACCCAGTATATACACTCACCAAGATTAAAAGGGAACCCTATATACACTCACCAATAACAGAAATATAAACCCTGCTTCATATACAGTAATTTTGTTTCCGCGTAATTTTGTTTCCGCGTCACTTCATCAGTTCGGGCGTGGGCATGGTCCAGAAAGGCTCGGAGCTCTTCTCCACGGTGTGGAAGATCCCGTTGAAGAAGAAGTCGGTGATCGTGTAGGAAGCCTCGGGGGAGCCCATTAAGCCCCTCTGAAAAAGCTAAAAGATGCTGAAGATGATCTTCGGAAACCCGAAATGCGGGTTTACGATGTTAGGGGGTTGCCTTATGAGGGGGGTCCATGTTATGATAAGGGCATCCTACCATTTGGGTTTTCGTAAACCCCCCATGTGATCCTCTAAAACCCCAAGATAAGGGAAAAGAGAACCTGTCCCCAAAGGGCCCACCGAGAAGCTCTCCCGGGAACGTGCATGGGCTTTGAGACCCACATGCCGAGCTCCTCCTTGTAGACGCACTTGAACTGGTAGTAGCGATCGATCATCACAGCCAGGCACAGGAGGGTCACCAAGAGGCGCGTGGGGACCACCTGCCTGAAGAGGTCCAAGAAGCTGGGGCCCTTGCCATGATACCTTGGGCCTTCAACGTCTTCACCTTGCGGCTCTTCCCGGAGTGCCTGGATCTTCTGCATGAGGCTCCGGCCGGCACGCGTGATCATGCAGTCGTGGAGCATCTCGTCGACATCCAAGATGAAAGCCATGGACATGGCGCCCAGGACGGTGTCCAAGATCCCCGAGGTGTCCATCAGAAGGGTCGTGCCCTCCAAGAGGACAAAGTAGCACAGCGTCACCTTGGGGATCAGGACAATCAGGCCCGTGATGATCTTCCAGTGGATGGGCATGCCCGCAATACGGTAGCTGGTCTGGCGCTTTTTGTCGATCTCGATCCAGTCACACTTGTCCGGCTCGCTGGGCAGGTACCAGAGCATGGCTGTCATGCGAAAGCACACTTGGATCTCGTGGTTCACTGACAGTGCGAACAGAAGCAGGCACAGCCAACGGCAACTGCGGTTCTCCAGCCCGTATTCTCCAGGATCAACCTTCTCGTTGATAAGGTCCTCTTGGTCTGGGAGCACATCCAGGAGTGCCTGCTTGGCAAACTTCTGCACTGCCCACTGCGTGTAGCTGTAGAGCCGTGAAGGTGAGAACTGGGTCCCCCCTGGACCGGTGCACCGAGGTTGGAAGGGCGCCTCTGGACCCTTGCAATCATCCAACTCCGCGCCGAAGTCGCACAGGTGCATCATTCCGCCTAAGGGGTTCATGATCTGGGTTGCTTCGCCCACAAACATCACCAGCGCAAACTGCACCACGTAGTTCAGCGCCAAGCCCAGGTACGCCCGTATCCACAGCGAGACGTAGACGCCCTGGTAGCCGGAGCTTCGGGCAACCTGCGGGAAGGCGAAGGCGCTCCCGTACACGGAGCTGGTTTCCAGCTTGAAAACCTTGGTAGCCCAGAAACTATTATTATATATTATTATAGATATTATATTATATTATATACATATATATATATATCTCTCATTATTTATAATTCTAGAACGTTTCTGGATCGCTCCTACTCAGTCTGGCTTCTACGGATCTGTTTGTTTCGACTCTCTCCTTCATCAGATGCTCTGTTTGCGTCAAGCGACGAAGCTTCTCGAGACCAATCAGAAGCCTTGAGCCCTGTTCAAACCCCATTTCAGACATTCTTTGTCGTCTCCCATCACACTCACCTGCTGCAGGCGTTTCTGAAGCCCCTTCAGCCTTGCAGGGTTCTCCAATCCTCGCATCGACGCCCGGAAGGCGCAGCGTGTGCTGTCGTATCCCAAAACAATTCCATGGGCACCCCATGTTTAAAGGGTTGGGTACTGTATAAGGGAATCCTTGAAAGCCAAAGACAAAAAGGGGGGCAACAACAAAAAAAAGAAGGGCGAGGGGGGCTACCGGGCGGGAAGTTACTGGTACCAAGAGACGGTCTCGGAAGTCTCCACGTCAATGAGGCTCTGAGCCGCCTTGCTGATGTCCTCCGCACGCTGGGCCTCGCCCTCCTCCTGCAGCAGGACTGAAGCCATGGCACGCGCGCGCTCAGGAAGTGAGCGCGCCTCCCCCGCCGCCTTTGTTTTTTAAGCAGGAGCAAGCTTATTATAGGGTGATTGAGGGATGAAGTTTCCTAGCAAGGGTCCAGACAGTTCCGCAAGGGAGATGTGGGTGATGGACGTGGCGTACTGACAGCTGGTGATTGAGCACCCTTCCTGTAGCAGCTGCATGAAAAGGTACAGGCGCTCTACCTCTGAGAGCCTGCATTGCTGAGTGACATCCTCCAGCAACAGGGGCATCGTGGCCCAACTCCCGTGCCGCTGTCCCCATAGCCCTTTTGTTGCTCATGCCGCCCTCTCAAGGCTCTTAGCAGTCTTAGCACTGCCCAGGCTCCCGAGCAGATGGGGCAGCTCCCTCCACTCCTGCGCAGCGGCTCCGTCGTCTCTTGCTGGGCATTTAGGGCTGAGAGAGGGGCACGTTTTGTGCATCGACTCGGCTCAACGCAAGGATGCCAGGAGTGTCGGGTGCTGTGGGGGGTGTCAGCTTGTGCCCAACTGTACCACGACATCCTGATCCCAAAGCCAGGGCCCCAAACCCTCAAGCGTTCTCTGTGGGCTCCTGTGTCGCGATGGCACAAAGCAACACGGGCACCATACCTGGAGCTTGGCGGCCGAGTTTTCCGGGATTTGGGCTGAAGGGCTTTGAAGCCTATGAGGCGGCTTGCGGCGTGGCTCCTACAAGTCTTTCACTCGGAGCAAAAGATTACAGTAGAATATACCGCGCAAGCCACGGAATTGGGGCTAAGCAGATTGAGCGGCCAAGCTGACCGTAAGTCTGCAGCCCGATGCTTGGATGCCCGTGGGGGGTTGGGGGGGGGTTGGTCAAAACCCTTCCCTAAAAAGCTTCAACACTGCAAGATCCGTCGCATTTGGCGAACGAACACAGACGTCCATCTGTTTCGCATTTGGTGATTTGGTGAGCCCGGACGTCCAAAAGTGATGACAGTTTCGCATTTCACGAACACAAAAGCCCAAAAAAAAAATCGAGGACGGCGAGCTTGCCCACGCCCACCCCTAGGCGAGGGCGCGATATTCGAAAAGTGAGCATGAGAAGGCTTCAAGAGAAAAACCGCAAAGGGTCCGGGCCGTGGGCCCCGCCCGGCCGCATCGACCTAACGCCCCCCTCGTGCTCATGTTGTGACCTCAGTGCCGACACACTGTTTAAGGGTCTGAAAGCTTCCAAGGACGTCTAACCCTAAACCCTATTAACTCCAATTAGCCTAATAACCCTAGTAACCCAAACAACCCTAATAACCCCAATACCCCGAAGAGCCCTAAGAACCCCAATAACCCCTAATTACCCCTAAGAGCCCTAAGAACCCTCAACCCTGATCGACCGACCCAAGCACGCCTCCCAAGTTGTTGAGCAGCGTGACGCCGCATTTGGAGATGTCGACCTTTTAAAAATAGGAAGTTGGGAACCATATCTGTTCATATAAGCCTTATAGGGGCTCCTTCTCAAAAGGAAGTTGGGTACATATCTGTTCATAGAAGCCTCTTATAGGGGTTTACAGCTTAGGGCTTCGGGATAAGGGAAGCTCGTCAGACTTGGGAGTTGATCAGCATATAACATACCTGTGTTCAAAAATGGCCCTGTATATATATATATATGTATTTTTTCCCCTTGAAATAATTCCCCCAGAAGGACCTTTAGATCAACCCCCCACATGGGATTCATAAAGCCTCGGATGAAGGAAGCTGCGTAGATGAGATTGTCCCTAGACCTTCGGGCCGGGTCAAAAGACCGTCAGCTTGGAGCAACTCTCGACACTTTTTCTGAGAGGTTTGGGCAGCTAACTTTAGGGTTCTGGGTGTGCATTCTTTTTCAGGCCCCATAGAGACTTCCGAGCCTGGTTAGGTTCACAGGTTTTAGGAGAGGGGGGGGGGGGGAGGCGGGAGGGTGGCGGCTTCTGGGCTACGGACTCGCACTTCGGGTCTTCAGCGCCGGGGCCCCTGAGGCTCCCGCTGGTGCCAGCTCCGGGGCCAGCATGAGCCTGCAAGGCTTGCTGATTGCCAAGGCAATTGAGAAGCCCTCACGCTCGGCAGGGAACTGCAAATTAACTTAGGGTTTAGGGTTTAGGGTTGATACAATTAGGCTACAGTAACCCAACCGTACCCACCGCACCCACCTCAAGCGCTCAACCCTTTTGGCCTCTGCAGAAGACGGTCCGCCACCGCGAAGAAGGCGTTCAGCAGGGCCCAGCCGACCTCGTGCGAGGAACGAAGGCGTGGCGGCGCACGTTTGTGGAGGGGGGGGTAGGGCGGTCAGGGGGGGGGCGGGGGGGGCCGGGGGGGGGGCGGGGACATCTGCGATGCTCTAGGATGGCCCTTCAAACCTTCAAACCCTCTGAAAAATGTTCCTGAATATGATCTTCCTAAACCCAATAAGGGACAATCTTTTTCAAGGGCCTACCTAGTGCTGGACATACTAGGGTCGCAAGAGGTTGGAAAATCGAATGGAATGGCGATGGAGAGCTTCGTGCAAGAAGAATAAAGCTCTCGTTCTTAGGGACTGTTAGGAGCAACAGGAGGCAACAGTGGCAACAGCCTTGACGCCAACATGCCAACATCCTCACCTTGGAGGGCTTTCGACGCTTTTGTTTCTTAGCGGAGGCTGACCGCAAATGCCCAAGAAGCTCGAATACCCAGAGCATCTGCCCTGAACCCTCAACGGCCCTTAAGCCGGAAACCCTCGCCAGTAAGCACAGAATCTGTAGCGGGCTGCCCGAGCATCTGAGCGCTGGACCCCGGTCAGGTGCTGACGTGGCATGCGGGAGGCGTAGAGGCCACTGCCTTGATCTTCATGGTTTGGCCTAAACTCTGAACACATTCGAGCTGCAGCAATGTAAGCCTATAAAGGCTCGTGGTAGAAATCCCCCAAACTGGCAGTGTGGCCCCGGCCGCAGAGCATGATGAAGATGGAAACGAGCATGCCCGTGTTCACCTCGCAAGCAGAAGAGATGCCTGGGGGCCATCGTCGGCCATCGTAGTTTCTTAGAAAGCCTGGGCCTTGGGGGGTCGTTGCGGGGTGTGCCGAGGGCTTCTGCCAGGAGCGCCTCTCTCAATCTTCAACAACAGTCTTGGGAGTCTTTTTGGGGGGCTTTTGCTTAGGGACCCTCACTCCCCACACCCCAAACACCATGTGGCGGCGCCATCGGGGAATACCAAGGGCCTAGTCGGCCCTCTGTCCCAACGTCGGAAACATGTCAGGTCTCAAGCAACACAAACCCCAAACCAGGATCCCCAAAACCCCAAGTGAGGGTCCCTTTCTGGAAGGCCCCCTGATGGTGATTGTTGCAGCTCAGCCTCCAGTGGCTGTGGGTAGAAGCTCTCCACCACCAGGCCTGCGACCTAGGCTTGGGTGCAGCGACATCCCACATGTCTGGAAGCTCCGTACTCTTGAAGGCTGCCTGTAAAAATCCTCATAACCCTAAACCCTAAACCCTAAACCCTCAACCCTATCGACCCTAAACCCTAAACCCTATAAACCCTATAAACCCTAGACCGTCCAAGCCTTTGAAGCGCCTCCACAGGCGGCCTTCTTTTTCACCACGAGCGGTCGCAGAGTTCTGCCAGCAGAGGGCTGGCCCACAGGACTCCAAACAAATCACCTGAGGGCCTTTCGAACGGCCCCCTGAAAGACTCCCCTGAAAGACTCCCAAAAACTGTTATGTTAAATTCTGCTCTATTCTATCTCTACAATATGTATTTACATCGTCTGTATATTTTATATACATATATAAGCCCCCAAGAAGAGGACGCCAAAGAGCTTGCGATTTATATGAGGTCCCGCAGGTCTGTTGCCCCTGCGGTCTGGAGTGATTCGCATGCAGCAGCCGAGGGTGTCTTATCCTCCCAAACGAGTTTCTGGGGTTTGGGGTTTAGGGTTTAGGGTTTAGGGTTGGGGCTTATAGGGTTATAGTGTGAGCTGTGCAGTCTCGCGCTGTCGGACCCGAAGGCTTGATGCCACCCAGGCTGGCACGTAAGCGTGCTTCAGGCTTCAAAGGGGGATTGAAGCTCAAGAGTGTGCCCTGCAGCTAGAGGCATGTGCCGTCGGAGTTCACGCGCCCCGAGAAAGTTGAAACGCAAGCACAAGGTTCGGTGAGGTCTCAGCCCCGAGATGTGCAGAGAGGGGAGGAGCCAACTATACTGGCCAACATGCCTGAGTGGAGGGGCTTTGGGTTTTGGAAGTTTGGGAGTCGAGCATATCCTGTTGGCCAGCAAAGCTCAGGCACCGACTACCGCGACTACTCAAACCTCCATCGGCGCTTCCACGTACAGGAGGCCATCGGATTCCTCCAGCACTTGGCGTTGGCGTCGGAGGTGCGCCGCGAATCCAGCGACCACTCCCCCAACCGCAAGGATGCTGGCTCCGAGCAGCACGGGGCGGGGCCCACTTGCGCTGGCTGCCAGCAGCGCCGGCGCGCTCGGCTGCTCCTTCTTCTGCTCCTCCTCCTGCTCTTTCCGCTCTTGCTCTGCCTCGGCAGCCAGCTCTTTGCGCAACTGTTCCCGTTCTTCTTCCCGCTGCTTCTGCTCTTGCTTTGCCTCGTCGGCCAGCTCTTGACGCAAGTGTTCCTGCTCTTCCTCCTGTTCCTTCTGCTCTGCAGCCAGCTCTTGGTGCAAGTGCTCCTGCTCCTTCTGCAGCAGCGCTTGCTCTGAGGCCAGCTCATCGTGAAGCCGTTGCTTCTCCTCCTCGCGCTCCTTGCTCTCTTCCGCTTCCTCCGTGTTCTGGCCACTTACCAGCAGCGTGGGGCCGGTGTTGGACTGCATGTACTGCTGGTAACCACTTCCCTGATCAGGGGCCAAATCAAACGCAGGCTTTCGCACCGCGCACATGCCACTGCAGACACGCTCTTGCGTATGGCGCGTCTACACGAGCCCTCAACCCCTCTGAGAGCCCGAAAGCCCTAGACCCCGGACCCTATGGGCGGATGTGTGGCAAGCCCTAAGCCGTGTAACGGAGATGGCCTAAACTCGAAGGCCAAACGCTGAATCCTACAAAGAGCAGGTATGAGGCTTCTCTATCTTCACTAATGAGGCCCTAGGAGGGTGATGTGTGATGCAGCAAGGGTTCGAGCTCTTCGCCAGTCACGAGGTCCTGTCTGTGAGTCTTAATGGTGCGGCTGGTACTCAATCAAAGCGATGCTTAAAAAAACCGTTTACATTAAGCCAACCGACCCCCGAAAGAACGTGCGCAACTTGCCGAAACACTCCCCGACAAAAGGGCGGGGCCTGTGAGCCATGCCCTTGCATGTACTTGCTGTAGTCACCGCCGTAGGACTGCATGTACTGTTTGAAGTCACCGCCCTGCGAGCCATGATTCTGTCGCAGGCTTTCGCGCTGCGCACATGCCACTGCAGACGCTCTTGCATATGGGGTGGACACGCTATGGGCGGATGTGGCGCGTGTGGCAAGCCCTAAACCCTACAACGGCCTAAACTCGAAGGCCCATCGCTGAATCCTACAAAGAGATGTGGTGTGGCATATGAGGCGGTTTTATGTGTGCAGTTATGAGGCGTGGGACAAGGTGCAGGTATGAGGCTTCTCTATCTTCACTTATGAGGCCCTAGGAGGGTGATGTGTGATGCAGCAAGGGTTCGAGCTCTTCGCCAGTCACGAGATCCTGTCTGTGAGTCTTAATGGTGCGGCTGGTACTCAATCAAAGCGATGCTTTAAAAAAACTGTTTACATTAAGCCAACCGACCCCCGAAAGAACGTGTGCAACTTGCCGAAACACTCCCCGACAAAAGGCGGGGCCTGCGAGCCATGCCCTTGCATGTACTTGCTGTAGTCACCGCCGTAGGACTGCATGTACTGCTTGTAGTCACCGCCCTGCGAGCCATGATTCTGTCGCAGGCTTTCGCGCTGCGCACATGCCACTGCAGACGCTCTTGCGTATGGGGTGGACACGCTATAGGCGGATGTGGCGCGTGTGGCAAGCCCTAAACCCTGCAACGGCCTAAACTCGAAGGCCCATCGCTGAATCCTACAAAGAGATGTGGTGTGGCATATGAGGCGTTTTTATGTGTGCAGTTATGAGGCGTGGGACAAGGTGCAGGTATGAGGCTTCTCTATCTTCACTTATGAGGCCCTAGGAGGGTGATGTGTGATGCAGCAAGGGTTCGAGCTCTTCGCCAGTCACGAGATCCTGTCTGTGAGTCTTAATGGTGCGGCTGGTACTCAATCAAAGCGATGCTTAAAAAAACCGTTTACATTAAGCCAACCGACCCCCGAAAGAACGTGTGCAACTTGCCGAAACACTCCCCGACAAAAGGGGCGGGGCCTGCGAGCCATGCCCTTGCATGTACTTGCTGTAGTCACCGCCGTAGGACTGCATGTACTGTTTGTAGTCACCGCCCTGCGAGCCATGATTCTGTCGCAGGCTTTCGCACTGCGCACATGCCACTGCAGACGCTCTTGCGTATGGGGTGGACACGCTATAGGCGGATGTGGCGCGTGTGGCAAGCCCTAAACCCTACAACGGCCTAAACTCGAAGGCCCCATCGCTGAACCCTAATTACAAAGAGATGTGGTGTGGCATATGAGGCGGTTTTATGTGTGCAGCTATGAGGCCTGGGACAAGGTGCAGGTATGAGGCTTCTCTATCTTCACTTATGAGGCCCTAGGAGGGTGATGTGTGATGCAGCAAGGGTTCGAGCTCTTCGCCAGTCACGAGATCCTGTCTGTGAGTCTTAATGGTGCGGCTGGTACTCAATCAAAGCGATGCTTAAAAAAACCGTTTACATTAAGCCAACCGACCCCCGAAAGAACGTGTGCAACTTGCCGAAACACTCCCCGACAAAAGGGGCGGGGCCTGCGAGCCATGCCCTTGCATGTACTTGCTGTAGTCACCGCCGTAGGACTGCATGTACTGTTTGTAGTCACCGCCCTGCGAGCCATGATTCTGTCGCAGGCTTTCGCACTGCGCACATGCCACTGCAGACGCTCTTGCGTATGGGGTGGACACGCTATAGGCGGATGTGGCGCGTGTGGCAAGCCCTAAACCCTACAACGGCCTAAACTCGAAGGCCCCATCGCTGAACCCTAATTACAAAGAGATGTGGTGTGGCATATGAGGCGGTTTTATGTGTGCAGCTATGAGGCGTGGGACAAGGTGCAGGTATGAGGCTTCTCTATCTTCACTTATGAGGCCCTAGGAGGGTGATGTGTGATGCAGCAAGGGTTCGAGCTCTTCGCCAGTCACGAGATCCTGTCTGTGAGTCTTAATGGTGCGGCTGGTACTCAATCAAAGCGATGCTTAAAGAAACCGTTTACATTAAGCCAACCGACCCCCGAAAGAACGTGCGCAACTTGCCGAAACACTCCCCGACAAAAGGGGCGGGGCCTGCGAGCCATGCCCTTGCATGTACTTGCTGTAGTCACCGCCGTAGGACTGCATGTACTGCTTGTAGTCACCGCCCTGCGAGCCATGATTCTGTCGCAGGCTTTCGCGCTGCGCACATGCCACTGCAGACGCGCTCTTGCGTATGGGGGTGGACACGAGCCCTCAACCCCTCTGAGAGCCCGAAAGCCCTAGACCCTGGACCCTATAGGCGGATGTGGCGTGTGTGGCAAGCCCTAAACCCTTACAACGGAGGTGGCCTAAACTGGAAAAGATGAGGCCAAACGCTGAATCCTACTAGGAGATGTAGTGTGGCACACCTGCGCGTGAAAACGACGGATTAAGAGTAGTCACTTGGATTGTACGTGATTTCGCCACAGACGGGAAAATTTGACGTATATGGTGTACGGGATTGAGGAAGCCAGGCGTCAGGAAGCAGACGCTTTTTTTCTAGGTGTGTTAGGGATTTCAGGTCACAGTGTTGGCGCTCTTTTGAGTCTGCGGGTCACCATAGATCGATCGTGTCAGAATGGAACCCAACATATGGCTTCAATTTGGAGGCTTCGGGGCGCGGTGTTGACATTCTGGGGTGGTTTCGGGGTTTCGTGTGTTTGGTGCATGTTTTCCGGGGCTTCTCAATGGAAGGCTTTCTTCATTCTTTCGGGATGCGGTGTTGAGATTCTGTACCCGAAAGCAGGGGGGGGGGGGGGAAAAACAAAAAAACGCCACCCGTACTGACCCATTACAAACCCAATATTTGTTCAACAAAAGCCCCAACTGCGGTGTCGATAAAACTCACTGATGGACAGCTTTTTTTCATTCCACTGCTATGTCCTCAGTTTATACGACTTGTTGCTGTCTGGGCCCAGGATTTCTTTGCTTTCCTTACAAGTGGCCAGGGCCCTCTTTTTGTGTGTTTTGGTGTTGTTTTCAAGGTGCAGAGTCTATTTCGAGATATCTCACGGCCATGCACTCGCTCCTATTTTCTGGATCCTCCGAGACATGGACCGCAGACGAAGAAAAACTTTCCACCTGCTGAGGGCGGCGGATGTACGTGTTTTCCCTCAGCTATGTCACCCTGGATTTACGTCTTTTTCCTCAACAGTGGCACAGTGGCATCCCGGATCTACGTGATTCTTCCTGGGTTGGGGTAAAAATATTTTCTCTTAAACTTAGACGGGGATTTCGCAGAAAAAACTCGCCATACGTCCTTTAAACCTTCTTTCGAACACACAGGTATGAGGCGTTTTTATGTGTGCGGTTATGAGGCGTGGGACAAAGTGCAGGTATGAGGCTTCTCTATCTTCACTTATGAGGCCCCGCGGGTGATATTTTATGCACCAAGGGTTCGAGCTCTTCGCCTGGTTTTCAAGCACAAGATGGCGAGTATGAGTCACGAGGTCCTTTTTGTGAGTCTTGTGAGTCTTACTGGTGCGGCTGGTACTCAATCAACCCGATGCTAAAACAACCGTTTACATTAAGCCAACCGACCCCCGAAAGAACATGTGCAACTTGCCGAAACACTCCCCGACAAAGGGGCGGGGCCTGTGCGCCATGCCCTTGCATGTACTTGTTATAGTCACCGCCATAGGACTGCATGTACTGTTTGTAGTCACCGCCCTGCGAGCCATGATTCTGTGTGTACTTGGAGTAATCCATGTACTGCTGGTAACCACTTCCCTGATCAGGGGTTGAATAAAAGGAAGGCTTTTTCACACCTAGCGAAGATGAAGCACACGAAGAAACCTACACCTAGCATTGCTGCTGGCCGCATCTCATGCATCAAGCGCCCCTTGCCTGCGAGCCATGACTCTGCGTGTACTTGGCATAGTCCATGTACTTCTGGAAAGAGCCTTCCTGTGAGCCGTGCTGGGCGTCTTCTGTGTCACGATCCTCCTTAGACTCCTTGGAGCTGCCGGCATCCTTGTCGTTGTCCGCAGCGAAGCTCACGGGCTTATCCGCGCCTTCGGCTGACTCCTGCTGGGTTGCAGATGATGGCATGTACTTGCTTGCATAGTTGCCGGCATACTTCGACATGAAGCTCTCATAGCCGCCGGATGCACCTGAGCCGTACTTTGACATGTAGTTCTTGAAATATTTCTGGTAGTCACCACCACCACTGCCGCCACCCATGTAACTCTGGTAGTACTTCTGGTAGTCACCACTGCCACCACTGCCACCACTGCCGCCCATGTAGCTCTGGAAGTACTTCTGGTAATCCCCCTGGGCTCCTGAGAGGGCCGGAAGCAACAGCCCCAAGAGCGCGAGCATGGCCATGGCTCAGAGAAGAGGTGTGTGAGAAGGCGCTGCAAGTTCAGGTGCCAAAATGGCTTTTGCGGCTTCAGGTGGAAGAGGAGGCTAAGAGCCAGCTAAGTTGGGGGTAAGAAACGCCCAGAAAGACAACCGCCACACCACCAGGTGCTTGGATTCGGTGGACTTTCGCTGGGCGCCTTCGGCGTGGCACTTCGATGGAGAGTCGGTTCCAAGTACAGCAGAAAGGCATTTCCGCAAACTCGCGGTCCTGGAGGAAAACTCCCACCCTAAATCCCAAGGCCAGGAGAAACTCACAGCAGGCTCCGAGCCCCCGCGCGGGCGAGAGGCAGCGCAGGACCACCAGGAGGGACATGGGCGCTGCCTTGAGGGCCAACCTGGGGGGTCGAAGATTGGGTTGAAACCCTAAGCCCTTTAAGGGGTTTATAAGTGGGTTATATAAACACAGTCATTATTCGGCTAATAAGTACCATGAGCCTCCAAGTAAGGGTTTGGACCATCCCCCTACGCTCTCCCTCCGCAATGATGTGTCCAAAAATCGGAGGAGATGCCGTAATTTTTTAAAACTCCCCCACGTCCATCTCCCCAAAAGAGCCCAGCAGCGCCTCTACCAAAAGTTGTGGGTTTATGGATCCTGGATTGGGGCGTCTGCGAAAAGAAGGCGAAATCAAAAATCTCGAGGCTTCCAACTCGAAATGCCACGGATCCCCAGCCAAGATGCATCGAGGTCAGCAGCATGCCGCTGAAGCACCTCATTGCCACAAGTCCCCCCGCGTTCTAAACTCCCCAAGCCATTGGACATCCGAAGCTAAAAGCCTCCGAGAGCCTGATCTCCTGAATCAAGGTAAGGGGTTTAGGGTTGGTTTAGGGTTTAGGGTTTAGGGTTCAGGGTTCAGGGTTCAGGGTTCAGGGTTCAGGGTTCAGGGTTTAGGGTTTAGGGTTTAGGGTTTAGGGTTTTTTTGCGTTTAGGGTTTAGGGTTTAGGGTTTAGGGTTTTTTTGCGTTTAGGGTTTAGGGTTTAGGGTTTAGGGTTTAGGATTTAGGGTTTAGGGTTTAGGGTTTAGGGTTTACAGTAAGGGAACTCAATTTTCCGAGGCTGGCACGGAATCACCAGTGACCACCTTGCGACATCGCGAAAGGAGCCAATGTGGATGGACCTCCGCGCGTGGAGCTTCGTTGACGGGAAACTCGGACCGGGTAGCTGATGTCCCATCATAGTCAAGCCTGTAGCTTTCTGGCTCTCTATTGCAGCGTATTCCAATTTTCCTGAAACTGGTTCAGGGTTCTTTCAACAAGGGCCCAGAGATTTGATCAAGCCCCGCCAGTTGAAATGGACGCTTTCTTGGCAGAAATCAAAGCTTCGATGACGTGGAGCCGATACTGGCTGTGGCCCTGACACTTATGTAATCACCCTCCTACTCGGAACCCTGTGATACGAAAGGCCCGAAGCCAAAAGCGACAGCCCCAGTACCTAAACCCTAAACCCTAAACCCCAAAACCCTAAAACCCTAAACCCCTAAACCCTAAAACCTGTTCGGAATCAAACCGCTAACGTGGATCAGGGCGCAAGCTGCAAGGAGGAGGAGCTTAAGGGCGCTTCAGCCTGAAGCGCACCTGAAACTGTCGCATTATTATAAATATATTTATTATTTTTATTATTACTACTACTATTATTTGTTATTATTAATATATTTGCTATTATTCTTCTCATTATGATTATTATTAGTATGATTAGTCCGAGTTGGGGCTCTGAAGGCTGAATCCTGTCAGCTCCCTTCGCCTCTCGCAAGAGAGCACGCATCCAGCGGCAATAAGACCGACTCCCCTTCTAGTCTTGACCCTCCCCAAACAACCAAAAGTTCGTCCCCTCAATCAAACCCCCTAAAATCCGCTTCGCCCCTTTTGCATCCCGACATACCCGCCCGGGTCCTATCGGACACACCTAAGAACCTTCAAACCTCAATCCCAGCAATATTCAGACCAACGTAGGTGTCACGCTGAAACTGAATCCAACCCAACCATCAAATGAGAATAGGAATCCCCAATGCCTGCCCTAACCCCTGTTTCCACTGAACTCTTAACCCTCTTAAACCCTCAACCCTAAACCCTACTAGCCTAACCCCTAATCCCCTAATCCCCTAAACCTAAACCCCAAACCCTAAACCCTAATCCCTAAACCCTAAACCGGCAGCTTTCAACCCGCCAGCCTGCGAGCGAAGCACAGCAGGAAGGCGCAAGCGAAAGCCATCTGTAAGGCCACGAGGCAGCACCTTGAGCTGAAATGGTGGGTTCACGAAGATAGCGGACCCCTAATAAAACAGAAGGGTGCGCTGTGGGGCCTGCGTTTTTTTTTAACGCTCTTCGTGGAAGATTCCGTTGTTTGAGGTTGAATGGGCGAAGTTAGGTAGTTGAACTATATTAAGGTTAGATGGGCTCTTCTTTGAAGATTCAGTTGTTTCAGGTTGGATGGACGAAGTTAAGTAGTTGAACTATACTCAGCTTAGATGGGCGTGGTTGATTGTCATACTTGATTTCTTCTGGTTCTTTTTTTTTGTCGAGCCAGGGTTTGCTTATAAGCAGATGGTTTGCTTATAAGCATTGATCTTTTTTGGATGGTTTGCTTATAAGCATTGATTTTTTTGGGGGGGGGGGGGGGGGGGGGGGGGTGCAGGGTCTTGGGGCTGTTGAGACCCCCCCCCCCCGCTCCCCAGGTGCCTGGATTGCAACGAGCAGCTCGCAACCATCGAGCAGCACGCAGTAAGTAACCCTTAACCCCTAAACCTTTAACCTCATATAAATAATAAATATATAGCATCTCGGCTGCATTAGTTTCTTTTTGGTGCATGTGTGCGCGCGCTAGTACAGATTGTCGCTCACTATATACTTATCAGCTGAATCATGAAATGCTATGACGAGTATTTCGGCTTAGATTCGAACAGTTTCTGTGTAGTATATTGCGGCCTAGATATGAAGCGCTCGGCGCCGGTAGCTGGATTCCTCCATGTGGAGGGCGGTGTGTGCAGGCTTGAGGTTACCAACTTGAGTATGGCCAGTGGTTCAGCACAACCACCTACGTCCTTCTCTCAATCTTCCGCGTCACCCACTGTGCCCAACAATACTATGGAAATGCCAAGGCTCGCCGATATCATTGCGAAGATCACAGATGGAACACTCGTTACCCACGAAACCAAGCAGAGCATCACATCGCGGCAGTTACTATCGCACGTGTGCTACTTGCAAAAAAGTTCAACTTGCCCACGGGTCTCAATGGAGGATGGAGCCCTGTAGCCGAGCATGCCCTTCATCAGTGGTTGGCGACACCGAAAAAAGCGCACTTGCTGTTACGTATCCACAGTCGTGGAAAGCTTTTTGTTTTTTCGTTTTACTCTGCTGGCAGCCAAGGTATGGTCTACGAATGGAGTCTCTGGGATGAATTATTATCCTGTGTATGCGCGCGTGCTCGTAAATATAAAGTATCCAGGATACAGAGTGTCATGTGCATGCACACCTGCTTTATAAACACTTGTGCACTGCAAAAACACCAAAAAAAACACAGGCCCCACAGCGCACCGCCCTCTAATAAAAAGACCCCCCAAATAATAGGACACCCTGATCATAAGGACCCCGATAAGGTGCCCCTATTATCGTAAGCCCCCATATGAACTGACCGGGGTTTAGGCTGTATAGGGTCCAGGGCAGAATCGCAAGTGATTTGAACTTGGTCAACCATGGAGATGAAGCTTAAAGACTTAAGGACCTCAAATGCGATTTGGGCACGGGAGGGCCTAGTCACTCCTGGGATAGGAAACCAGGCTTTTTCATCGGGTGGAAGCTTTCATGGCTTCAGAAACTCCGTAAGGTCTGTAATAACAGGTGGTTGCAACGATTTTTGCTGCAGAATAGGGACCGTTTGCGGAGGGCTCAAAGTACCTGGGGGAGATAAGGCTGCCAAAGGCACTCCGCCGGGAACCGCGCCACGGCCATCTTATTGAAGACCTGAGGAGACTGATATAGAAAACGCTCCGGCCCTATCATATACTGCAAGTGGCAGATTGGAGTGTTGCACTTGCCGCGAACATGTCAAGAGGGACAGAAAGCACCACTTCACAATAAGAGACTGCGGCTGCAAATTTCGCCCTCGACCCTGGACAGACCCCCCCCCTGTTGTAGCAAAAAGGCCACACACCGAGATTCCTAATCTGCTGCCCCTAGACAGTGTAGACCCCAGGCAGTTCGGGAGCAAGAGTGCCACTGGGCTGCCTTTAAAATGGCTGGGGAAGGAAGATTGCAATCAACATGGCTTCATGTAAGCATGCCTCTGGGGGGCTTCTAGGGTGCAATTGGGCAATAAGGGTTGAGGAGAGAGGCCACCAGCTTTCGCTGCTTGCCCGCATGCAGATCTGCTCATAGAAACCTCCATGGAGCTGTCCCTTCCCCCGCCATTTCCTAAACCCTAAACCCTAAACCCTAAACCCTAAACCCTAAACCCCCCCCGCCCTTCCTTCAGTGCAATAAAAGCGGCCATCATGCCCACGGAGCAGGCGCACCTACGGCCACAGGGGAGGGGGGAGGGGAGAGGGGGGGAGGGAGGAGATTCACCCCGGCCAGCACCGGAGAAGACGGTCAGTGGGGCCCCTTTCATGCTTTTTTGGGGGCCTCTGCACTTCTTCTAGGGGACATGCTTGCTCTAGCAGGCAGGAGCCCATCTGAGAAAGTCGGGGGGGAAGACCCGTCGGCTCTAAGGGCGCAGCCAGCTCGCGACGCTCAGCACGATGTGTGAGGACTGCACCTCTTTGGGAGGGGAAGGCCGAGGGCTTTTTGCGATGGAAGCCTCCAAGGGCTCGAGGGGTTCAGGGGCGAAGGTTTAGGGTTTCTCAGAAGGTTATGGGGCGTTTTGATCCCAAGCTCAGGGTGGCTGGGGCGCATCGAAGTCTCCATCCCTTGGCTCCTACAAAATCTCCCCACATGGCATCAGAATCTGAAACAGTCATACAACTTCATGACTGCGCTAGTCGCCATACAGCAGCAAAAAAAATGTGTATTCACATAATAACCTCACAACGAATACGCTTACAAAACTCATGACATCACGATTTCCACACGCCGAATGTGCCGGGCCCCGAACGACGGCGGGATCATCGCCACGAGCCTGGCGTTTTGGGGCTCGGGGCTCCGGATGTTGTCGGATTGAGCCTCGGTGGGTATATACATGTATGTATATGTATGTATGTATTTATGTATATGTATATATATATATACACATACATACATACATACATACATACGTACATACATACATACATACATACATACATACATGCATACATATATATATATATATATTATATACAAAGTACAGTAATCGTCATGTAGTATAGTGATATGGTTGTATAGACATATCATATAGTAATATGTATTGTATCCCGACGTCATTTTGGGGAAACGGAACAAAACTCGAGCATCCCCCCCCACCCCAAATAACAAGCTACAATTACAAGAAAGGCATCCTCAACCTAGTGAAAGAAGGTGTTTTTAGGGGACTAAATGGAGTACCTCAATCTGGACTTCCGTGGTGCAACACCGGGATAATGGGCCTTCCCGTTGGAGCTCATCTTCGTTAACGGGTTCGCCTCAGGGTGACAGTGGAGAGGTCTCACAGAAAAAGCCCTGTAGCCCTTAGTTTGGAGGAGGCCACCACAGCTCTGTCTAGTCAGCCAGTCGCAAATTCGGTCAAGACAGCGCACCCTTGGCCCCCGTCCCAAAAATCTGACTGAGCAGTTCCCTCAGGTCCCTCAGATTCCCTCAGCAATGCCCAGAACCCCAAGCGGGCCATGTCGAGGGCCGGGCACCGAGCAAGCGCCGCAGGGGCTGCCGCGCGGCACGGGCGCGTCTCAAGGCCCAAGGCCACGACACGATGGCACCAAGATGCTTAAAGGGTGGGGGTCTTGAAGCCGTCGGTGTCCTTGAAGAGGCTTAAGCAAGGCTGTGGGCGCCTTGCTTCCGGTTTTGGCCTTAGGTCTTTGTGGGCCTAAAATTCTAGGCGCTCTAAGCACCCCCCCCACCCCCCCGAACTCCCTTTGGGAGCTCGGGCCGGGACCTTGAGCCGCGCTGTCAGAGAGCCCAAGGCATTGTTGAAAGAAGGGGCAGACACACCTAACAACTCCTGATAGGAGCCCATAGGAGGGGATATTGGGCGAGCCGTTCCTTTAGGAGTTCTGATGGCCCCAAGGCCACCCAAAGCCCTTTAAGCTCGATGCAAGCCCCTTTGAAAGCCGAAGCTCGCCCGCCTCGGCGTCTTTGGACCTCGAGGCTCAGTCGCGGTTTCTTTTGGGGATTAGGGTTGAGGGGGTTTGAGCTTATTTGGAGGTGGTTTCAGTGGTTTCGGGGTTTTTGGGCCACCCGCCAAGCAGACCAGCTGAACTGCAGGTCACACTGCAGAACGAAAGACGTACAGTAGATGAGTGAGGGTTCATATTGGTCCAAAAGCCCCTGTCCCTCCATGCTAGCTTTGGAAAAGGCAGGGGGAGTAGGCTTTGGGTATTCGAGTTTGTGTTTGCTTGGGGCTCCTTCATAGCTGGGTGAACCGGATCGCAGGACTGTCGGCGATATTCAGTCTAGGCTAGGGTTTTGGGTTTGAGTTGTGGGTGGGGACCCCAAAAGCAGTTGTGAACACACCTGCACGCACATGGCATGTGCATGTCGGCACCCACATGTGAGAAGCTTTGGCTGAAGCCTTTTGGGGACTTGGTGCTTCAGCGATTTCGGGGAATCTTGGGCCTTTATAGGGCTTCAGTCAAGCGTAAAATAACCTAATCCCTAACCCTAACCCTAAACCCTACAAAAGCCCCCTCCCCCAAGCCATGACGCCCGCTTTTCTGCAGTGCTCGCACCACACAAAATTGCCACAACTTTGTGCACCGCGTGCGCGCCTCAAAAGCCCTGTACAAGTGGAGGTCATCACATGGCGGGGGTGTTCCAAATTCGGGCGCCCTCTTTTGGGGAGAGCCGGTTTTGGGAAAGCCGTTGATAGAACGGCTCTTCTCTGTACAAGGCGCCTTGATCTGCCAGAAGACCCGGCTTTTTAAAGCTTCGAGCAAAAGTTCGACGTCAACAGCGGCATTCCCTTTAGGGCCAGAATGTGCTCCAGGGGAACTTAGATGAGGGCGCGCCCACCTCCCATGTTCAAGGCTGTGGGATGTGTCGATACTGGTGGGCACCAATCTGACCTATCTTTGCCATATTCATATGTCGGCGGGGGGGGGGGGGGGTTATCCCACACTAGAAACAGCAAGCATGACTTGCCTCTTAGGTGTGCAAAGGAGATTCCACACTGTCAACACTGGCAGCGTGGAGCGCCCTCTCAAAAACAAAAAGGGGGCGATCATGTCCGAGGACGAATTTTTCCCACAAGGTTTCCAAAAAGCTGGAGCAAGGCAAGTGCTGACCCGCATTTTTCGAGAGTTCCGATAGGCTCTCAGAGCACAACATAGCGGGGAAGCTGAGACAATGCAGTTCTTGAAGAAATGCAAATGAGGATGAGCGAGCCGGCTGCAGCAATTGCATTTTTCTGCCATGACTTGTTTAGGCATCACCTTAGAAGCTCATCACCTGACATGCCTTCACATGCCTTTCCTGCCATGAACCCTCAAAACCCTAGAACGACATCTAAATTTGATCCGGGTTGCTAGGGGTTTTTCAAGAAACAATGAGGGTTTCAACAAAGCTCGCCAGGCTCTGTCCATGTCTGTCGCTGGTTCCCAATATATCCGATTGTATTGGCGTTGGTGGAAGCATCTACGAGTATGTATCCGCAAACGACTAACGCCTCGTGCGCTGATCTGTATTGTGGCTTGTCCGACTAGCCCTGATTCAATCCCCCCCGATGCTCGGAAACACTCTGAAACAGCGCATCCAAGCGAGAGGCCTCTTCTCAGGAGTCATTGGAGTCGTAGCTTGCACCGAGTATCTGCGCAGGTATGGGTTCGCCGGGCTTGCGCCGACATCGCGCCAGGAGCCAACCCCGCCGTCGCACGAGCAGGAAAGTGCCTCGTCACGGCGTCTCTCTGCAGGTTTTCCGGTTTCCCATATCAGGCCTTCACCCCCCGAATATCACGAGCACCCAAAATCTCCTGCAGATCGAAGCCTCTGTTCCTAGTCATCCAACAAAAAGAGGGGCGGGCAGGGGGGGGCAGGGGGGCTTTTTGCGCTCCGCAGGCGCAGCACGCAAGCAGCGTGAGGAGAAGGCACGCGAAGAGCACGGTGTCAAGTAACGAAGGCTCGAAGGGGCAGCCGCGGGAGCCTTGGGACGACTTCTCGTTGTTTTTCTTGAGAATTAGCTGTTGTACCAAAAAGGGCCTAGGGATGTCTAGACTTAGCTTCTAGAGGTAACTAACTGCGTAAAGGCCGACTTGCAGCCAGACAAGACAGCGCGGAAGATCCGGGAGAGAAAAAGCAACAAAACCTTTCACAAAGCCTTTTGTGCTTCGGCAGCATGCCAACAGCACCTGGAGGCGTCTGCCAAGAAGCAGTTGGGATCCGAGCAGGCCTCGAGGAGGACGTGGCTTGAAGTACCTTAAGCATAGGAAGGGGCCGAAGAAAGACCAGACTACTTCCCCCTAAACCCTAAACCCTAAACCCTAAACCCTAAACCCTAAACCGGTGACCCTTAAAGAAAGTTCAGGCCCTCAGCCATCCTTCCTCCGTGTACCTCTATAGCCTGTCGGCTCGCGAGGCCGCCCGCGGCTAAGAGAACAATCCCCGTTGTCTTGGCAGATGAAGATCCTTTGCAAGCGTACGTGAACCCAACGGCCTCTTTCTTCGGGTTGCTACTTGTAGGCTCATGGTACTTATTATGTACTTATGGCCCACTTATAAGCCCCTTCAGTGCCCTTATATGGTTATAAGTACAGTTCTAAGTACAGTCATAATTGGTTAACAAGTACCATGAACCTCCAAGTAAAAACGGTGAACGCAGGGAAGGTCGCCAAGCGCCGCGGCCACAGAGGAAAACACTCACAGACCTAACTTTGGGGCCCGTTTGATAAGAACGGCCAATTAGTCGGGCAACTTAGGAGTTGTAGCAGAACTTCTTTCAGGGCGTACAAGAAGGGGCGAGGTTGGTACTTAACAGAAAGGCTCTTGCACTCATGCCGCAATGCCCGATCCAGGGTTTAAGAGTTTAGGACCCTAAACCTTTTGCATCCAGGTCTGGCGCCGGGCATCACCAAATTTACTGAAGAGGCGAAACTCGTGTTCACCCCTCAAAGAATAGTCCCCTAAACCTCAAACCCTAAACCCTGCTGCTTTAAAAGACTCTTATCGGCTTGAACGAACCACTCTGGGAGCCAAGTCTCGGGACTCCCCTGCTTCGAGCCAGCTGCGAGCCAGCCGCTCCAGACTCCTTTTCGCAACCCCCCCAAGACCCTAAACCCTAAACCCTAAACCCAAACCCTAAACCCGAGCCCCTAAACCCTAAATCCTAAACCCGAGCCCTAGCCCTAAATCCTAAACCCTAAACCCCGATCGCTCCCCAAGAACACGCCCCTCAAAGCCCTCTTTCAGGCGGCCTGGGCTTTTTAGGGCCTTACATTTGGCGCTCCAGACATTTCCGTATGCGTTGAGGTCTTATAGACGATGTCTTTGCTGGGGCCCTTAAAATTTAGGGTTTAGGGTTTAGGGCTTAACGATCAGAACCTGAAAGAAGTAGTCAGCCCCGCAACGCAACAGAGCCGGCCAAGACAACCCTAGATTGGATTTAGGGCCGAGAACCCCCCCTAAACCCTAAAACCCCTAAACCCTTGACAAACTCCGAACCTTCAAATAAACCCTAAATAAACCCTAAATAAACCCTAAAAACCCTAAAAACCCTAAAAACCCTGAAAACCCTAAAACCCCTAAACACCCTAAACCCCCTAAACCCTAAACCCCTTCTCAACTCCAAACTTGGAAGGCTCCAGCCAGCATCAGGCCCGCTCTGCATCTGCACGCTCCAGAAAAGGTGGCTCTCGGCGAAGCAGTGCTGCCTCGGATTTTTTCACCCTAAACCCTAAACCCTAAACCCTAAACCCTAAACCCGGGGGCCGATTCTCGGGCCTTCGAGCAGGCCTTCAGGGGTTCTTTGTTGGTGTGCTTGTTGTGGTTTTTGGCGATGAGGGCCTTAGGGATTGAAGGGCTTTATGAGGCCTTCAGGCAGGGCCTTTAGGCTTCTGGCTTTCCAGGTCTTGAGGCTCAGTGAAAGGAGGGGGGAGGGCCTGAACCCGAAACCCCAACATCCAATCCTCCACACTACTCCACACCGCCACTCCCCACAACACCGGCGTTTGCAACCAAAAGAACTTAGGATTTCCCTCCTCCTCAGCAAGCAATCCGCGGCAAACAGATGCAAGACGGAGTGGGGTAGCGTTTGTCGGGGGTTAATTGTGCGGCACGCCGGTTATGGGCACACACTTTTTTGACTCATTGTGTACGAAATTCTATTTCCGGACTGCAAACACTGCTTGGGTATAAGAACTGCTATTACCATGACTACCATATGTCTCCCATTACCACGACTACCATTACTGCTAGTCACTCGTATTTGACATCGTTTTCCTTGCGATCATAACTACGACAATCGTGGTTTCAAACCACTCCCCTCAGCCCTCAGAGCCCTAGAACTGCTTCCTTGTTGTTGGGGTTATCTTCAAAAGTTAAAGTTTTCAAAAGTTATCTTTTTCTTCTTCCTTATTGGGAAATTCATCGGACAAACATGCTAAAAAACAACCAACAAGGACCCAGATAAGGCAGCCCCAAGCAGCGTGCACGTCGCGGAGAAGGCCGCGGCATCACGGCGCCCGGCGAGGATCGGGAGCGTGGACTTCACCTCCACAGGAAGCGGTCGACAATTGTCGGGGGGGCGCTACAAAACCTATGAACCCTTTTTTTAATTAGTGTCAAAAGAAAGCGTAACCCCAAACCCTAAACCACAAACTGCAAGCCCTCTCTACGACAAGCTCTCTCGAAAGGCGCCCTATAGACCCTTTAACAACCCAAAAGACCCAAAGCCCCTTACTAGGACACCCCAGAACCCTCCTCGACCCTCCTCGAGGAGCGCCTCTTGCTGCAGATCCCGTGCACGGAGCCAGGCCTGTTGGGAGTTTGCATTTTGCCTTTGGGAGGTTCCAGGGGCGGAAGTGCGTTTTCGCGGTTCCGGCACTTCTTTGTGTTGCTTTACCCGGTTTTCGATCAAGACTACGTACTTAGTCGTCGGCCTAGCAGCCACCTTGCTTAGTCTATGTTTCTTGCACTTTGTTTTCGGCCGGGGG